CATTTTTGGTCGAGAAAGTCAAAAACACCAAAAATGTATCGAGAAACACATAACACATATAATTTTGTTCGAGAAAAACTAAACAAATCAAAATACGGTTGAGACGGTCGAAATAAACCGATGTTTGGTCAGGAAAGCCGAAACATAAATCGAGCACCTCGACTCGGGTAAGAAAAAATTTTTTTGAATTAGACCTGACGTCAATAATTAATTAACTCTGATTAACCTTCGTAGTGGCCACTTTTTGCTTTTTTTTAACAAAAAGGCAAATTACTAATCATTTTTAGTGTGTGTGTAATCAATTGATTGTAAACATTGTTATAAATTAAATTGAATTATCAATCTAAGTAAAAACAACTATTTATTAGGTTATTATCAACACATTTCATTCAATAGTGTAAGTTGAAACTCCCAGAAAATATTGAAACCGAAAACCATGAAAACTTTTTACGAGGCCAATTTGTACCTTCAACGGACGCAAAAAAAAATATAAATATGTGTGTATGTGTCTGTTGAAACTGAAATCATGTTCTGAAAATTTTCAGATTTTATCGCCAAATGCATCTATTAAAATGTTACTTAGATCCATAAGCAAATACCTGGTAGCGCTAAACTTTTCGACAACGAACAGGTTCGCAAACTCCGCAAACAATGATTTTAAAAAGATTCCACAAGTTCTGCAAACCTATTTAATCAGCAACTTCGGTGCTAACAATTAAGATATAGCTTGAGCTAGTTGGGATGTGATCAATGAGGCACTAAAACTAGAATAAGAAGCAAGCACCAACTTCAAAAAAAAACATTGTTTCATCATTATTTATGAGATCCAAGAGCATATTTTTAAAACCGTGCAACTCAAATTATTCATGAAACCCTTTGCAGATTTCGTTACGAACAGGTTCCAATAATCAAAAATTAAATATTTTGAAGGATGTTTTTTACTTTGTTTTTTATAACTGACTTTTATATCTGACTAACTTCTTCAGTGTTTTCTCATTAAAGAAAAAAATTGAAAGAAGTTTTTTTTATCGGTTATTAAATTATTATAAGAATGCGCCTGGTTGAAACATGTGCTGCGTGATCAGGAATTGATCATCCATGTTTGTTTGGATTTGTTTTCGAATAAATGAATTGGTTGCCGAAGCTATTTGCGCTAGCCATTTCAGAAAATTAGGTAAATGATTGTGAAAACAGGCAAGCTAGCCCAGTAAATTCTTGACTAATTCTTTCTTAAATTAGTATACTTTTTACAGTTCAAGTATTACCCGATAACTAAAAACTACTCTGATAGACAAAAAAAAACAATTTCAGATGTGAAATATTCTTTGTTGAAAATGATCACTGATAAATTTTTTAACAGTTTGATTTGAGTGGTTTGGAATCAACTTTTCCATGTTTCTATGGGCTCAAATTTTTGAATTTTGGCTTGAAATTCCAAACCCATACTTTGACTTGAAACGCCGTCGGCTTGATATTCTAGAATCCTGTGAACGGTTTGGTTGAATTAATCAATCCTTCCAAATTTGAGTATTTAGATCAACGCACCAAATGATATATACAAATATATGCATTATTAGTATGTACATTGACACAATTGTCTTAAGATTGCCAAACATTTTACGAAATGAATTTTCCAAAACTGATTCAAAAAGTGTGGATGGGATTTGATATTTGATAGGGCTCATATGTACAATTAACCGCTGCAGTCTTTAGTAAATCGTCTTTGTTTTTTGAACATTCTTGCAAAAAATCAATCCAGAATCCAATGTGAGCTTTGCTTGTCACAATATATTGTACTTTTTCTTCATGTTCCGACTTTCAAAACATTGACCTCTATTCAAATGAGACTCCGTTTTTTTATGCACATCAATTTCAACTTCCTACCTTGTCAATTTTGAACGGAATTTTCTATAAAATGTGATAGATGTGATTTTTTTGAAAAGCACGTGCTCTGTTTAGCTTTCATGATTATTATGGTTATACTTTGTTGAGCGAATGTTATTTATCTTTTTTTGGATGTGCTATAAAAAGGTCTAAAACAACTTGAGTTTCGGCCTGTAGTTGAAATTGCAGTCGGGTGACGAGAAAAAGTAGACATGCACGTCCCCCGACCTACTTTGGATTCACTGATGAGACTAATGGTACAAAAGTATTCGATGATGTTGACTCTCAACAAAAGCAGACTGGTTTGACACAACCAATGCAAATATTTGCAGAAGGAAAACTTGAACAACTGAAGTCATGGTGGGAATCATTGAAAGAACTCGGACCGGAGTATGAAAATTTCCCGAATGCTTGCTAGACTAACTTTTTTGTTAAACGTGGAAACTTGGACTTAACAGACCGTGTTTTTCCGGAAGTGGTAAAACAATTTTAACAGAGAGACACAAATTTTTAGGATGCCCAAATGGCAGCAAACAAATCATTGAAAAACATGTTCTCAAAACGTCAGATGGATGAATAAGTGAGTTAGAGAGTTTACCTCACATCGCTGAAGCGCAGCCACACTGTGCTTTTGCAGTGTTTACGCATAGTTTCTTTCCGAAATGAAATAACATGATGAGAAGGATTGACTGTAGCCAAGATAAAATTAAAGTTAATCTCACCAAACTCGAAAGCAAAATCAGAACGCCGTTTTTGCCAAAACTGACGGGTAGTGTATCACCAGGAGACATTGAAAATCTGTACTAGAGTTTCCGGCAAAACTGGGTGGTTTGAGCATCATCATTCCAAATCAGACGCCGCTCAGAAATTCAAAGACTCCGAGAGACTGTAAATCTCTTGTTTATAAATTTTTGTCAAGCGATACTGATTTAGACGTAGTTGCAAGTAGGCAGAAACGAGCATCTCCTGAAATACAGAAGGCGAACGAGCTGCGCGCCGAAAGAGAAAAAGATGTTGAACTGCTTTTGAGCAATTGAACTGGCTAACAAAAGAGGCGCGTCAAACTAACAACGTTGCTGTTAGAAGACATGGTTTTTGCATGAGTAAAGCAGCGTTTCGGGGTGCATTGTGCGTGCGATATAATTGGCCGCTGAAAGAAGTCCTTTCTCACTGTGTTTGCGGAGAAACGTTCTCGGTTGAGCATTGCTTGTCTTGTCCTACTAGAGGCTTCACAGCAATTCGGCATAATGAAGTGAGAGACAAAACAGCAGAAATCTTGACTGAAGTTTGCTCGAATGTTGAAGTTGAACATCATCTAGAGCGGTTATCTGGCGAGTTTTTGGCTTTGAGAACATCAATAAGTGGCGATGAAGGGCGTCTTAATGTTTCAGCCAATGGAATCTGGGGAGGCAGATTTGAGGAGGCCTTATTCGATGTATGAGCATTTAATCCTTGCGCCAAATCATTTTCTAATATCTGCCAAGTGTGTACAGGAAACACGAAACCAAAAAAAAAGAGATGCTATGAGAATCGTATCACAGAATTTGAACATTGTTCATTCACACCTCTTGTTCTTTCGTGTACAGGAGATATGGGCAAACTTGCTACCACGTTTTACAAAAAACTTGTTTCGATGATCAGTTAGAAAAAAGAAGTAATTTCGTATAGTCAAGTGCTTTGGTGGGTTCGTTCTCGTCCTGATTTGCGCTCCTCAGATCTTTGATCATGTGTATCCATAAAGCCCGTTCATCATATCGGAGACCAAGGTATGATTGTGTTGAGCAATGAATTCTTAAAGGGCTTTCGTTTGACATCAGTTAACTTGCATGGATGTTTCTTCTATGATATCTGTTAGCTGTTGTAGTTTTTTCTAATGCGGAAGATATGGACATGAAGATGACTTCGATTCAACTGAAATATCGCCCGCCTTCGAAGTTGATGTTCACAATGTGAATGGAGCTGATGTTTAAATTGAGTTTATCAGTTCAATTTGACTGAATCCGATAACTCAACTAATTGAAACATTGATTGAAAAGAAATGTAATTAATTTTTCATGTTGAAAAAAAAATTTGGACCTTATTGAGTTATTTTTTTTTCAATTACAATTTGTCACTCTTTTCGAAATTAGGGGTTCGAATTTTGCCAACTTGTTTATTTTAGAACAATTAACGCGCAATTTGTTTTCGTGCTTTTTTTGAGACGAAACACCAAACTTCTCCAAATTTCTAGGACTGGAGTGTGTCTCTCCCGTGCGCCTCTGTAAATTTTGTCAATTTTTCTAAAGTCATTCCTAACTTCAGTTATCCTTAAACTTTTTCAATTATCCTTAAAGTTTCTCAATTATCCTTAAACTGCTCCGCAATTCAAAGAAGTACAAAGGTACTCAAAGACCAAATGGTTGTCTAGTGTTGTCTAAATTTAGTGCTGCTGCTCTTAATTAGCTATTTTTAGTTTCTTTTTACGGTGTTTCATTAGGTTTGCCATAAACTGCTTGAATTGTGACTGAACGAATTTTTTTTTGATTGAGTTAAAAAAAGGTATAATTGTTTTAAGTTCAGTCCTTGTGAACAATATTATGTCTTCTAGCTAAGCAGTTCACATTGTGCATGGAGCCAATGCAGCTACACACCAGCTAATTTTGATAAAAATCATGCACACGTCCCTGTGGGTTAAAAAGAGGAAAGAGAAGAAAGATTGGGTCGATCTGTTTGACTACCAGAAAGCCCAACCTCACCCCAGGCTAGTCGCAAGTACTACAAAGGTTACCAAATCTAATTTAAGCATTTGGATACCCGATAAATTACCAGGAGAAACTGACGCTGTTTTGGGACATTTTTGGCCATAGGATTCCAAAAGAACCACTGCTAGTTCTAAAAACTCCGCAAAACTCCGTGGGCTAAAAAAAAGTCTCAAAAAATTCGACAAAACGCTCAGAATTGTTTATTTACAAACGCTGGAGTTTTGCATTTGGAACCTCGTAGCGCTTTTGCATTACAGCGAAGACAAGAAGGCATTTCATTATTTAGCTCAAAAAGATAGTGAACTTTAGCTTCCTTCTTTGGGGGATTTTGACCAAGATTTGATAAGATATAATTACAGGGAACTTGTTCCACTCCAATGTAAGGCCTTCAGCCTTATTGGGAAGAGTCGACTAAGTTAGCAGCAAAAATACAACATCGAAACTAAATGTATTTTAAGTCCGAGTGGAAAAAGCGAGACGTGATTAGAAGCCCCCAGGTCTAATTGAAATAACCCGGCTCGATTATTTTTGCTTACTTTTCATTCGAAGACACTTTGTTGTTTATTATTTTTTGAATAACTCAACCACTTTGCTCGAATGACCGGGAAAAGTTTGAAAAGCTCTGTTCATTTTGTTATTTTAACATAACTGTTAAAGTGAATTTATGCAGACGGTTAATGCAAGATTAAAGCCGAATTTTGAAACTTATCTTCAGTTTCACTTCTGTTTTGGCGCTTGCTGTTCAATTTGAATTCTGCGGGCTATCCCTCTGAACTTTCTGTACGATTCAGTGCACACTTACGAGAAGCAAAGCACCTCTAACTGGAACTATGGCTTCAGGTCAAACTTGAAATGACGATTTTGATCATTCAAGATTATAGTTTTACGGCCTTTTAGAATCATTCAGCTTATTTTGATAAATGTTTTATGGAATCATTAAAACCATTCATTATTGCTGGGTAATTACAGCAAACTCCTTCGGGGATATCCTGCGTTCAAGAGACGTTTTGGCTCTTCTGGTCGATTTCTACTCCTACAAAGATCAAATGGTATTTCGAAGTCCAAAATTATTATACATTTTTTCAAAAAATGGTAATAAAACTAGAAAAAAAGAACTTGAACGCGTCGCATAAGCAAACACTCAAATAACTTATGTTAGATGTGATCAGCGGTAAGTTAAGAACGATAAAAAAATTTCGGTCTTCATACTAATCATATGTTTTCGTGAGGATTGCAAACCTTCAAAGAATATATGCGATCTAAGAGCATGAATATAAAATCTTATAAGAATATCAAAATAATTTCACACGAGTTTGAACTTTTTTGAAGGGTAGCTCGGAATCCAAAATCCTGAAAAAATCCTGAAACTGAAATTTTTTGAACGGCAGCTCGGAATCCAAAATCCTGAAAAACTAGAAAAAGATATTTATAAGATTTTGAGTTTTCCAAAACATGGGTGGGTTATGCGATGTCCCGTGCAATAAGATAAAAAATCTAATTCCCCGACTAGCTTTCTATTTTAGGCTGGATAGGTTCATGCCTCTCTCTAATCCAAGACTAAGCATTATTGCTACTCTTAATTTCACTGGCCTCGAAATATCTGGGGACACACTGCCTAGGCGGAGTTAAGATTGAATTCAATTTTGTTCCCTTCAGTCAGTAAAGCGGTCTGACACGAGATAAATGGACTAATTTATAAGCCTTAACTAGGGCTTCTAATGGATCTTGATGTTGGTTATTAAAAATTTTTATAAAAACTCATAATGCAATATAAAAAAGAAGAAAAGCAGAAGCTTTACAAAATGATATTACCCGCATCCAGATTCAAGCGTTAATAATTGATTATATTACGATTTTAGTACCGGTCTTACTAAAGTTGAGAAACAATCGATTTTATTCAATTAATAATCGATTATAATCTTTCTTTTTAAAATCAAATTATAATTAATTATAATCCATCATAATCGATTACAATTGATTAGTTGTTCGTCCATTTTTCGATACAATTATAATCAATTATAATTGATTATAATTCATTATTTTAATTCAAATTTCTAATTCATTAGTTTTGCACAAAAATCCATTATAATCGATTATAATTGATTATAATCCCTTTTGTTTGTCCATTTTGTCTTCGAGTTTGCATCTAAATTGCTTATATTTTATGCTTTTTGTAGACGTTGGTTCCTATGAAAAAAGAGAAAAATGTTTTATAAAGTTTTCCGATCAATTCAAATTTATAAGGTTTTTTTTTTCATTTCTTTTCTTCCCCATAGTTGTTTTGTGATGCATATTTTAAGCTTTTTAACCACGAAAACATCAGCAAATTGATTTAGTTTCATAATTGATTTGGAGGATTAACTTTCTTCTACCGCGGGAATCTTTCCTTTAATATGAAAGGATCTCTTCGAAACTTTTGTTTCGAGGTAAAACTTTGTGTTCAGATGAACCAAAGTGTTTAACAGATCTCTCTTTTAGAGATTTACTTTTTGACACAAAATTAATAACCCATATGATACAAAATTTTGGCAAAATAAGAGATTATAGTATTATAATCGATTTTAATTAATTCTAAGGGTTTTTTGTAAGAACTATAATCAATTATAATGGATTATTAGAGATTATATTCTCTTGGAAAATATCACGATTATAATCAATTGTAAATCCTTTAAATAACTAAATTTGGTAATTTTAATCAAATATTATTTTCAAAAAGTCATCATAATAATCCGTTATAATCGTTTATTTACGCCTAAACTTGGATGCGGATATTACCAGAAAATTTTACTAAAAATTTTGTCAAGTGTAAAAATTTTGTCAAATTTTGACAAGTGTATCATATATATATGCGTGCATATATATAAATATTTATAGAAACAGACACAAACACATAAATATATATATATATATATATATATATATATGTACTTGAATGTATATAAATATTTAAATGTATATATATATATATATATATATATATATATATATATATATATATATATATATATATATTCAGGGGCGGATCTAGGATTTTCTCGAGGAGGGCGGATTTTCAAAAAATATTTGAAAATTTTGTCGACATTTTTTTAAGGTCAACCAAATTGATTTTTCGAGCTCTCCCAAAGCAACGTTTTATTCCTAGTTTGGCCAAAATTTCTGCGCCGCAGGCAAAGTTTTGAAAAAAACAGGCCAAAAAAGGCGTTTTTAGGCACTTTTTGGAAAATTTGGACAAAAAAAACCTTTTTTTTCGGCGCGTGCTCCCTCTGAAAACTGGTACATATTGGCGCCAAAAATGGATATCTCAAAATAGTACAAAGGGGGACCCTTTGGGTCGGTAGGGGGTCGAATCCCTGAGGGAAGGCCCCCTGCCGACCCAAAGGGTCCGCCTTTGTACTATTTTGAGATTTCTATTTTTCGTAACGGACCCTAAAAATTTTCTACGAGAGCTTTTGGTGCCATTGTATACTAACTTTGAGGGCGGAGCGCGCGCCAAAAAAAACGCGATTTATTTTCCAAGAAATGCCTAAAAACGCTTTTTGGCTTGTTTTTTTCAAATTTTTGCTTGCGGCGCAAAAAATTTGGTGAAAACAGGGTTTTTACAGTGATTTGGGAGAACTCAGAAAATCAATTTGGTCAACCTATAAAATTGTCGACAAAATTTTCGAATTTTTTTGAAAATCCCCCCCCCCTCGCAAAAATCCTAGATCGGCCCCTGTGTGTTCACTTTCCATTTTCTTACGAACTCAAAAATTTAACTACAAATAAAGTTTTGCAGAGATCTCTGCAAAATAAAAGAAAATTTACCGCAAAAAGCAAAACATCTTGCCTAACCGCGATATCTAAATTTTAACTGATTGTTTAAAGAATTGATCTTAAATTATGCGCTCGCGTTTTTTTGACTGTCGTGGTCTTGATTGAGCTTTGATTTTCATGGTTTTGTCAGGTGCGCAGAATTGTGAATCAGTCTTTAAGATAAGATATACTTATAGCAAGAACAGACTGTTAAAAAATCTAATTCTTAATTGATTTCTGTCTAGGGTCATTTAGAAAATGGGTAAAATCGATCGAAACATTGGGTTCGGGCTTTCTAATCTAATTTGAGTTTCAAGGTCTTTCTCAGCATTGTTGCTGGCGTTTGACGAGAAAACTTTGTTATGGATTTCAGAGAGTGTTTTTGTCTGATTACAACTTTTGTTCTTCGCATTTTCTTTTTTTGCTGGAAAGCTTGTGCTCTTCAGTCCAATATTAAGTCTCAATCAGTCTCTTAATATCCCGAATGCCACTTGAGTTTAGGAAAGGCTGGTTCAATGGAGTTAAATTTGGGATCCTTTTTTTGCAATCAGATATTAAATTAGTCTGACCAGAGAAAATGTTCAGTAGACATCTT